TCAAGATTTAATTTTAAAATTTTGATATGGATAACCAAATAAAAAAACCGAAACTATTTTAATTTATCTGAAATTATTTAAAGAGTATTATTATTGTTATGTCAAAAATTAATTAAAAATTATTAAAATTATAATAAAAATATTTTTAAATTAAACTTATAAAGAAGATTATTTTTTACAATTTTTTTAAAATATAAAGACAATAAAATAATCCAAATCTTTTAAGTTAGGATGCATATATACGTTTTTCCTACTTGTCTCTTTTTCAAAGGTTTGAATTTTGGATAACAATACACATAATGGTCGGTAGTATTCAAGCCCAAGATCATTTCTTCTATAGTAGCATGCAGGCAGGTAAAACTAGCAATTGAGCCAATCCCACGTCGGTATTAGCATGGGTTAATAGAGAAATTCACATTGATGTACTTTCATGGGTGAAAAATCTACGAATTTATAGTATAATAAGATAATCTGAAAAAAATGAATTTTTGTAGAAGGCAGTCATTGCATTATATTCTTTTAAAAATCTGCAACCAATATCATACTTTCTCGTGCCATATTAACTCTTAACTATTAATTCTATTATCACTAATTAAGTAAATCAAAAAGTTTCTAATATTAAATGGCCAGTAGACAAACATAGAGGGGAACTGCTTTTTCTTAATTTATCCGCTCAGTTTCTTTTTTCCTCTAAAGATAAATACAAGGTAATAGAGAAAGCATTTTCCAATAAAAAAGAGGCGGAGAAGACCAAAACAGCCCCTGTTTGCTAAGAAGGAACTAATTAATTGCAACCAAGCCTGGGTAAATTGGGGAAGAAATATCAAAATTCAACACCCAGCAAAGGGTAAACATCACTCAGAAAAAGAACAAGGAGGAAGAACTAGCTACGGAAAGAATATTTATTTTCAATTAAATAAATTTTTAAAATTAATAATTGATTAAATGTTATTAGTTATAATATTTAATATGATATCAACTTGAAAGGTGAAAAAAAACATGTATTTATATTATTATGTCACATTAATATATTATTTTAGCATTTATTATAACACGTCAATCTACAATTAACATTATATAATATAAAATGATAAGTGATGTATTGAATAATAATAATTAATTAATTATTAATTATAAAAATTTATATAATTTAAAATAAAAATATAAAAAAAATTATTTTAAATTGAGTCACATAAAAATATATTTACTCAAACTTTAAGATTAAGGTTAAAAAAGAAAAGTATCAGCCATTTCCTCAAAAATCTGTAAATGAAGGTATAACTATTAATTAGGCTTTTGCTACTCCTCAAGCCTAATTCCAGCTTCCAGGCACCCAGGCAGGCCACGAAGCCCAGTTCAGTACGTCAATTGTGAATCTGAGCCTGCCACGTCATCAGGATGATGGGGGCCACATAAATCCGCCCTCAAGATCATAATCGTAAGTTCCCAAACGACTCTCAAAGTTCTAAATCAAACTCAAAGATTTCCTGTTTGGAAATTTCAGATCAAATGTCTGAACCAAAGCATCATCCAACAGACCATCGCTCAGGTACTATGTTTTTGTCTCAATTTCTTCTTGTCTTTTTTGTTTTTTGGTTTTTAAAATTGAACTTATTATTATTCCAGATTGGGGACTTCGCCAAATTATGTGTAAAAATATGGGTTTTGATCTGTGAATATATATAGCTTTTTACAGAAAATGGGTTTCTCTAGTAAAAGAGTTAGATTTTAAGGCTAATCTAATCATCTCTCACTTTAATCTTTCCCTGGGAACTATTTATTTTGTGTCTTTTATTGGGTGGGAAAGAGGATGACGATATTTTTAAGAAATGTGAACCCTTTGCTTGTGGCAGTTTACATGGAAAAAAAAGGGGGTCCTTAGTTTTTGGCATTATGGTCTTGTTCATTCTAGTTTTGGAGGTAAAATAACTGGCAATTTTATGGGCTTTCCTCCCTAATTTTGTTGTCTTCTCTGCTTTCCTATGGAAGAAAAAGATGTTAAAGCACCCAACATAATTGAGAGAGCTAAGGAAGAGATTGAGGCCGTAATCCACACTGATAAAAAACCACACCATCACAAAGAGACACATGGAAGGAACGATGATATTGATGAGGATACCCCCGTACATGATGTTAAAGGCCCTAACGTGTTTGAACGAGTGAAGGAAGAAGTGGAGGCCATTGTTGGAGCAATTCATCCTAAGAAAGAATCTAAAGGATCATGAGTCATCTTCAAAGTAAGAGGTGGGTTGAGACTTCCACCATGAGAAAGATATCGTAAAATTTGCTTTCAATGAGGATCGTGTTGTGAAAGTTAAACTGTATATTTTTAGGATGTTTAATTGCTTTAATTTGTTTATTCAACTGAGAGATTATGAATTATAGTCCTTGTTTGCTTTGTAGAATTTGATTCTTGTGTTTGACAAGTAACTTGTCTTTTCCCAATATTCTTTTTCCTCTCTCCCTCCCGTTAGGTTAGGAATTCTTTATCTTAATGGTGCCCAGTGTTCTTTGACAGAGTCTATGTAACACAAATTCCTTATAGTCATCAGCATCTAAACTTATCATCTGGGTAAAATATTGCATACATGGCATTGAAACATAAACAGATGTCTCAAACTTCCAAAAATCAATTAGGGCATAATCTTGTAAAAGTCACATGACAGAAGAGCTGTATTAACCTGTGTGAGAACGCATAAATCATAAAGAGTATGGCGATTGTTATGCTAGTTTCAATAACATGCATATATTACTCACATATGGAAGGTGGCGAATAACAGATGTGGCGATGTGATAGCCTTCTTTTTTCACCTCTATTAGACGAGGCACGCTAGTTCAAGTTGTGGTTACTGCTCTTACTTATACATGTCATAAACAGGGCAACTGCTTATTGCTCTGCAGTTATTGCATGCACATACACCTGAGGACTTCCATTTGGTATTAATACGTTGCATTTTTGAGACTACTAATATAATCATATAATTGCAACATTTTAGCTCCAATTTGTCATAATTATGTGCATTTGGCTTTGATATTATTTTCAATTTTATGGTTGGGGTCGTTTCCACTTAAAACTTGTGTGCAATATTCTGCCTTCAAATGCTCCAGTTAGGAAATTAGGCATTATCACTGGAATAGATACAGAAATCTCGGTCATCTCTTTTTCATTGATGGTTTTGTAGAACACCAGTAATGGTAACGTGTCTTGTAAGCAGTTAAGGATGTGGTTATCCTGTTAGATAACATTTGTCGTCTAGGAATATATACTTATCCAGGGGCAGGTGGTCTTTTTTTTTTATGGTTCGGACTTAGGACAGGTGGTCTTTTTATGTGTACAAGGAATGAAATTTAAGGTTTGCAGAAATACTAGTCAGGGATCAAATGGCTAAGAAATTTGTCAGATCCAAGATTTTTCAGCTAGATTTTGTTTAGCTGTTAGTACTAATTGTTAGGAGTTTAAGGGCATGTCCAGAAGGCTAGCATTTTAGAACTGGTATCAAAAAGTACTACTAGTACAAGCTGCTTAAGAACATCCTTTGCTTCTTTCAACTCAGTCATGAGCAGGTGGATTTTAGTATGCCTTTTTAGTTTTCCAATTTCTTGGACAAAAAGAAAAGGAGTATGGTCTCTCTGTGCGTGTATGGCTCTAGTGGAAGTTGTAAATTTATGGTCAATAGGATCTAGAATACCCAGATTAGTTCATCAATTCATGAGATCATAGCAATTAAACATTATCAGATGTTTTATTAAGAATATAATGATTCAACTTGCAAACAAGGATATATTGTATTATTTCGAGGGACCCTTTATGGGGCGGACATGAGACCTTTCTGCACTTTCAAACTAAACTACTAAACTAGGCAGGCACTAGACAGTGTTTGTGGTAAAGCTCAAATTTGGAAACACGCACCAAGAATGGTAAAGCAGCCTTTAAACTATGAGATGCACTCATCAATCAACACAAAAATGATAAGCTCAGCCTTTTATCTCAATAATATCAGCTCAGTTGCACCTAATCCAGATTTGTCTTTCAGATGAGGTTGAATGCTGTAGGCTATCGAATGCATCTTTTTTTGGATATTTGGAATATGAAGGGAATGATGACTGATCTGTAAGCAGTCTTTGCTTAATTTTTACTCGCTGGCTTCGAAGTCTGCAAATGCAATATACCATTAGAAACAGGTGGGGCTACTTAAGCCAAGTTAAAGTTGTCTATCATGCTTTTGGGTGTGCTTGGTGAAAATGAATGATATGAAAGATTATTCTGAGAATGAGTTTTTTTACGATTTCCTGTAGGTTAAAACAATAAAGTTTTCCTTACCATAATTCAATTTGTGTTGGTGTCCTGTGTTTTGCATGGGCAAAGTGGTGTTTAATATGGGATGGTCTGCAAGAGCCAAGATGCTTAAGAGCAGAGACTTGTCTTTATACTCCAGTGATAATTGAGGAATCAGCAGTGATCTGTCTCACCTTTATTTATATAGAAAAAGATGCTGACTGGGGATAGTACCGTACATTGAAAGATCTTATCACTATAGCCAGTCACAAATCCATAGAAAACATAGAAAAAGCATTTTTTGTTTGCCAGAGCCTACTTTGATTTCATTGATGGTTATTTGACTAACTTTTAAAGTCCCCGGCCCCCAGCCTTTCATTGTGGGAAAGTTCCTCGTGAGCTCATAGAACATTAGGCTGCAGCAGAGCCTACTGCCCAGACTATCAGCTGAAGAGTTAGAAAGGTTTACTGAGTGGTGCAATCAAGACTTCCTTATTTCGAGCTTTGCTTCCATGGCTCAGTTTCACAGCTATCACCTCAAATTTTAACATTCAGATATAACATTGAATGAATGGAATCGGCCTTTTGAGATATTTGCATTCTTACTGGGTAGCTCCTGGTGCTTTTTCACCACTAGAAGAAAATCGAAAACTCAAAATGAAATAAGATGGTGATATTGTCTGGTAGGATTTGCTACTCCTTATTAAATGTGCACATCTGGAGAACTAAAAATGAATCAGGGACCACAAAATTTCTTAATTGCCATCTTGGCTGATTGTCCAAATGGACGATCAGGATTTGATCAAGCGTGCAGTACCCTGTGTGCTCCCCACCAACCTAGCTTGAAACGTTGACCCCAAGTAGTAATTTTTTTAACCAACTCATTAAAATTGCTGCAGTCCTGGATGTCTCAGACATTGATGCTTTTCTTTACATAAATGGGACTCTGCCACTGGATTTTCCTACCCTTAATAAGAATAAAACTATCAGAGGTAAAAAGGCACTGCAGTCTAGGCAAAGCTAAGATTTCTTCTGATATTTAGGTCTCTGGGACCCAAACGAGAGAGCTGTTATCCAGGGCTAATGCACCACCTCAAAGAGTACTATATTAGTAGATTGATTCGAAGGGTGGAGACAGAAGTTAGCTTGTGCGGAGACGCAAGTCTTCAAGAGGTCAATGGGCTACGAGGGGGGAGAGAGAGAGAGAGAAACAGATTAATCAAAAGGCTTCCAAGCTGAGTTGTCAAAATAAAAAATGAGGAGTGAAATTACTGGCGCTTTTAGCCATATGACAAGAAACCAGAATCACTTGCTTGTGAAGCAATATCTCCATGGCAATGCAAGATAAGAAGTAGAGAAAAACCCAAGAAATATTAGAGGTTTTGGCTTGCTACTTGACGTTGGGAAATGGGATTTCCGGTTGCCAGGCTTTTCCCACTGCCTTATATTCCAACAGTCATGCATGGCCTCTTGAAGTGTGCAAGTGCTTAATTTTCTTTAGCTCCCTTGATCTCTCACACTGCCATCATAATTAGTCAATCAACATCACCATTTGAGGTTTTGAAGAAATGCCGGGAAGATTGTTTTGTTTTCTGTTAGCTCTTCAAATAGTAAGCCGGACTTCTGCAGCAAGCAGGCCCTTAGCACCAAATGATGGTTTTGGTGTTCATCAGCCAGGTTAGCTAAGCCACTTGCCTGCCTTTGCTTTCTTATCATCCATCACAAAAGGGTCCTCACTCTTTTTCTTGCAATGATTATGTCTATTAAGCTACCTTAATTATCATGCCATCACTTTTGACATCAATCCGGTTCCAAAATAAATTCCCCTTATAACTTTCTCTTATCTACTGGCTATCTTCAACAGTCTCTAACCTTTGACCTACCATTTGGCTTGGCAGTAGAGCCTGTTTTCTCATCCGCCAGTTCAGCTGTAGTCATTTTGTGCGTTTTGTGAGTTCAATAGCCATCCAAAATTGCTGTACTAATCCAACTTAACTTTTATTAGTCACAGGCCAGAGACCACAGTCTTTGCAAGATTCCTCGGGCCCAAGTTCGAGCTCAAAAGAAGTGTCTATGCAGAGTTTTGAAAGCCAGGGAGGAACGGCTGCCACAGATGAAGAAGCAAATGGGGAAGGGGAGAGCAAACAGGGTATAGGATCAAGTCCTCCAAGCTGTGAACACAAATGCTATGGCTGCATCCCATGTGAAGCCATTCAAGTGCCTACTACTAGCAAGCTCAGCCACGTGGGTCTGCAGTATGCAAATTATGAGCCTGAGAGTTGGAAATGCAAGTGTGGTCCTTCCATTTACAGCCCTTGAACTATAAACCTCGGAGGCCTTGATATAAGCTGCTCAATGCCCAGTGTTCACAACATTCTCCAAAGAGTTTGATTAGAATCAAAATCCCTTAGCCATCCCTTTGTACAAAAACTAAATTCAACTTGTTTTTAAAGTAGTCTTTTGTTGCAATGCCCAAGAGTGTGGAGAATCATTTTTAGCTACAGAAATGTGTTCTGCTACTAGTAATTAGCTGTTATGATAACCTTTTCTGTTTAAAACAAATGCACTTCTTTTTCTCTTTTATCTCTTTCCAATTCCAATGGTTGGATGGATTATTTATTGGGAGTAACCCCTCCCATTTCTTCTTACCTCTCAAACTTTGCTCATCTAAAACGTGTGAAATTTTGGACCATGTTACAGACTAGAGAGAGTGAATAATGGTGAATGGATTATAATAATTAAATGTTCTTGAAATAGAACTGCAACTGCATTCTTGCGCAACTATATTATAAACAAGAACGTTTTCAGATTTTGATACAAAATAACTAATCCAGCAAGAAGCAGATCAACATAGACTGCAGAAAGCTGCGGTTTGCTCTTTTAGACAATCCTGTATTAGCAACATCAACATTTTGTTTGCTTAGTCTATGAAAATGCTCTCCTCCAAAGCAGATCACACCTAGCTGGCCTTGAGATGGTGTTTCACCTCGAACAATCTTTACTTTTCTCTAGGGGAAAATGGAAAACCTTCTCTTTCTGCAGCTGATACTGATCAAAAACTGCTAGGATGGGATATGAAGCCAGCACCTAATAACATCGAATGATGCAAGACCAATGGCTACCGAAGGAACAACCTGCAACAGAGTGATTTTTAGATTGTGATAGGGTGCTAGACTGTTAAATTCATCTTCATGTTACTTTCAAATCTAGCAAAAGATCTTCCAGTTTCTGCAAACAAGTGAACAGCCGGCTTGCATTTTGGTCCAATTAAACTTTTCTTTTAGGAGAACATAATTATATCCCAAATGAATTAGTCATTGAGTTGCACATTTCCAAGCTTTCTACCTAAAAGGCACTATGAAACTGATAGCTTAAAGTTATCTTAGATTCAAGTCCAAGCCCTTATGAAAGAGCGACGGATATCTTGAAATTACCTTCATATAATTAATGCATAAGCCTGCATACAACTGTCTCCATCCTTGATCACGAATAATGGCTGTGAGACCTTCAATGGTGTTATTGTACCTGGCACCACTCTGATTCAGAATGTCAACCTGTAGTAATCAGACTAATCACCAAAGTAAACAGCTTTGAATTTGACGTATGAACACAAAAAGGCAGTTAAAACACTTATGTATGATTATCATCGACATTCAACACAGTGACATCGCTGGCAAAGATCACAGCAGAAATTTACACATAATTAGTATTCTCTAGCTTAAAAGAAGACAAATTTAATTGGTTTACCTGCATCTGTCTCCTAACAACATCCAATGGATACATGACAGTTTGTCCAAATAGGCCAGCCAAAGCGCCACAAGAGAGATTCAATGCAATGGAGCTTTGATGTTCTTTGGGAACCCATCTCTTGAGCTCTTCTTGAGCATAGAATTTTAAAACATTATAAGGGAGGATTCCACCAAGTGTTGGACCTGATCTTTAAAATATAATGATTATTGATGGAATCTGTCAAGAAGCTCTCTTCAATGTTTACATTTTTGTAAGAACAGAAGCCTAGCATACCTACACCTCGATAGAAAGCAAGCATTCCACCTCCTCTATAGACAGTCCTGAAGACATCTTTTATCCCTTGGTGTGCAGGATGAACCGAATGGATACATCTAAGACCATAACTGCCACTTTGACTTCGATCCACCACCTTAACAAAGAAAACAAAATCATCTTGAAATTGACATCAGCTTAGAATGAACAATGAGAGAATCAGCCTCATGGATCAAGTGGCTTATCCATCAAACACAATGCCTCTAGTTGATGGCTGAAATTGGAGTTCTACATGAAAACTTTGCAATGTCTACAAGTTAGATTGTTGATTACTGTCGTAGCATAGATTCTCAGGTTAGTGAAGAAATGGTTACATATGCCTGGTCTCGTGTTTAAACTAACTACCTGGTAAGCATACTTCGTTCTAGCCAAATCCAAGGGATAAGTGCATAAAAATGCTGTTCCATTAGCTGCAGAGCCAGCTAAAATATTCAACAGAGGCCCTGTTCCTACAGATGGGCATTTGTAGTGCAGCAAACTCCGATATTGTTCGTATGTCATGTATTGAAATGCAGAATGGGGTAACATTCGAAGGATACTAACACCATTTGCTCTGGCAAGAAAAGGAGATATTAATATAAATTATTAAAATTTTGATACTAAAAAAGGGTTGTTTCAAGGAATGCAATACTCAAATTGCACTGCTGAACTTACTTGTATAGCCCCCTAAGACCTTCATACTTCACTAGCTTCTTCAATGAGCCATACACCCCAACTGAATGAAATCCTTCTGCCCTAGTCTATCAATGCCAGCCAACAATAAAACTAGGCATTAGATGGAAAGGAGTCATACACTTCATAATGCACTCAGAAAACAACGGATATTGAATGAAATGATAAGATCTCATTACACCATGCCAATTGTTTCATTCAATCCAGATAACCGGTAAAATTTAACCAACCTGCTGTTGTATCATTTACACCTGATGCAATCAGCTCAGTTTTTAAAATTTCTTATAGGTAAGTAAATTCATATATGGTAATATCTGCTCTTTTTTTGCCTAAATATTCTTAACATCTCAAAACTAAACTAAGATTCATGAACATTGGAAGAAATTAAAGGGAAAAAATCGTCATTGTAACAACTGGAAAAGGCTCAAATCAACACTGCCTGACAACAGTCTTTGATTGATATCCAATGCTATAAGCAACCATAAGGACCAATGAATAAGACATGGATCAACACATAGGTGAACAAAATTCTTATAAGATGTAACAATTATAATCTTGAAAAAATGGTTCATTGAAAGAAAAAAAGAGAGTAACTAGCAGAGAATTCACATATTTTACCTGCAAAAGTATCTTGATTCGCTCCAATGGAGCAACTGTAGTTTTTGCAAAGGAGCTTGAAGCACCAGCAGCGATTAACTCCAATAGAAAATAAGGCAAAGAATGAACAATTTGAACTTGTTCATCTTCAAAAGAGTCATCCTCATTGGAAAAACCGATATCAGAACCTTCATTGTCCATCAAGAATTGGACAGAAAAGTGTTAAAAGAGGTGTTGTATAACCGGTTATACCATAGTGCAATTTTGGAAAGTTCCATGTCACATTAAACAATGTAAATACAAATTGGAGTTGTCAGTGAAATTAAACTTTTAAGATGAACGGTTCTTTTATTCCCTCTCCTTTCTTTTAGCTAAACATTTTGACCAAATGTTCAGATATTCCATGAAACTCTCTCCATTGGGCTATTTTAGTCATTCAAAATGGTTCTTTATCCACCTCAACCAAAATGAAAACAACTTGCACATACATATAACTGAAAGCCCCACTAACCGCAACCTTCTCTTCATTCAAACATGGCTCGCTTCTTTTCCTCTAGGGTACGTAAGTCTCTCTCTTTCTTATTCCTTACCCATGATTCAGTTTTCTTTGTTAATGCTTTGCATTTCCCTTTGTGTTTGTTTTGGTTGCATTTGGATTGTAAATATTCTTGTATTTTTCTCATTGATCTGCATGTTATAATTGTTACATGAAAGAAATGGATGTTAAACAGTGATTAGTAGGTTGCACAATGTGAATCTGATAATGCTTTTTTGAGTGGATCTGAAAATGTTGGGCTTAATTTAAAGTTAACTGAATGGTGAACTTGTAGGATCATGTTATCTTAATATAATTCAATTATTGTTGTTTATTTGTTTTATAGGATTCATGCCCTGCAGTAAAGAACATTCTTATTCTGGACTCTGAAGGGAAACGTGTAGCAGTTAAGTACTACTCGAATGAATGGCCAACAAATAGTGCCAAGTTAGCTTTTGAAAAATCTCTCTTCACAAAGACACTCAAATCAAATGCTCGCACAGAAGGTAATCGACATGGGGTTTTGTTCCTCCTTAATCACGTTCAACAGTTTCTTTTTCTGTGTCAAGTTAATGCAAGATTTGAGTTGCATTGAGTTTATGCTCTATGCAGTGCTGAACTATGTACTCATATACTAAAAGAAACCTCTGGCTAATCCTGAAGTGCAATTTATTATCTTATTAATCAGCTCATAGGAACCTCTTGGTGGGTATATACTGAAATCTTGATCAATCCCTTTCTTTTTAAGCTTGAGACTTGCAGTGTTGATGTGTTCTATGTCATATGCAGCTGAAATCACAATGTTTGATAGCAACATTGTTATCTATAAGTTTGTCCAGGACCTCCACTTCTTTGTAACCGGGGGTGATGATGAAAATGAACTCGTCCTAGCCGGTGTGCTTCAGGGGCTTTATGATGCAATTTCTCTTCTTTTGAGGTTTTGCTTTTGCTTTTAGCTCATGGCCTTCAATTTATAATTTTGATTTTTAATGCCTAATTTTATGCTTCTATATCACCAATTTTTTGTGCCCTCATTGTAGGAACACTATTGATAAAAGGGAGGCACTTGAGAACTTAGATCTCATCTTCTTATGCATTGATGAAATTGTTGATCAAGGGTATGCAATAAGTTGCCTTTATAATTCATGGAAGATTATAAATATCCGTTCTCTTAGTTTCAAGCATCACATCACTAAGACCAAGATCATAATGAGAATGCCACCAATGTCAATGTCCATCATTGAACAGCTCCCCCAATTTATAATCACTATTTATGTATATAAGAGAGCTTCTTTATCTTTTATCAACAATGAAAATCTGATAGGCACAACTCATTCACCTGCAAAAAAATGTACAAATCATGGATTTTTCCTTTTGTTTGTGGGGGGCAGGATGATACTCGAAACAGATGCAAATGTTCTAGCAGGAAAGGTGGCAATCCAAAACATGGATGTTTCAGCACCATTGTCTGAGCAGGTGACATTATTCTAATCTTGCTTTCTGTGTTCAAATGAAGAGATTGCCAAAACAGACTGATCTCAAATCCTTGAAATTTGCTAATTATCATGAGATGCCTAACACCAACTTCAAATATTCTCCCAAACAGAGTGATTTATAGCTATTTTATGCCCATCTTAAGTCATCTGAACTGTTGATGACAATAATAGGGCTTATGTTTCTATTCTAACATTGCAGACAATAAGTCAAGCATTGGCTACAGCTCGTGAACACTTGACAAGAACACTTCTAAAATGATATCTGTGTTCCCAGAGCCTTCTTCACTTTGATTTAATCCCATTTTGGCAGTTGCCACTTGGTTCTTCTATATGTAATTCCTTTTTATTCTTTTCTGAGCTTGATAGATGACTGCGCCCCCCACCCCCAATGTGTTGTGGGCTTTTGTTTCCATCCAATCAATCAAAATAATGGAAAGAGATAGCAATTCTGTCAGTTTTTGCTCAATTATTGATCTGGGCTTAATTTACAATGCCAAATATTTTGGACCATAGCGTGCACCAAAGGGGAAATAAATCTTTGATGAATCTTATCTGTTCCACTTGCTCTCATCATTTCAACTCCTCTTTCCTTTGCCTACTAGAGAAAAAGTTGATTGCCACAAGCCCTCGAATAAGCTGAAAAAGAAGCAAAAACCTTTGCCGGCCCTCTTGAATTTCTTTATGCCTAGGACTGACAGTGGATCACACATTCATTAATGGTTAGGTTGTCACTTCTTTGGCTCTTTCAGCAAAACAGATAAAAAGAGTCGTGTATTATACTGCTATAGCTATCATACAAGTCTTGTTGGGTCAATGAAACATTAGATTGCAAGCTGCTTGTCTTGTCTTTGCGGGTTGGATGCTGTGGCTTACCAGTACCATGGACCCAAACCTGGCTTCTTTTCTTCCATTTTCTTCTTCGGTGCAGTATATACAATTTTCATGTCTATGTTTCTACTAATTGTATAATTAGCATAATTAATTTGACCCTAATATTCATTTTTCTAGAAGATCATGGGATGAAATTAAATTCCAATGTCCAATCCACCCCAGAGAAAAAAAAAATTCAAAGCTGGAATCATGGTGGTCCATTTGCATCAATTTCCACGAAAGTCTACGGCAGATCCGAAAAAACCATTAACTTAGGAAAACGTAAAGGAAAGTGAATAAAGGATGTTGCAGAGAAATTGCTCTCCCATTGACCAATAAAGTCACTGAGAATAATCGAATATCACTCATAATTTAAAATGGGAAAATAAAAAGTTTAATATTCGAACTATCTTTTCTTATGTTATGAATTAAAATAAAATTAACACGTCTCACCAAACCGAGTTGATCTGCTTTAGATAGTGGGATTTACAGCCTAGCTTTGATCCGAGCTTATCCCCCTCCAGAAATAAATGACCAGCCTTTACCCACAAAGCGAGAAGCTTGTTCGCCAAAATTTTCAAACATGGCACGTTTTATTTGTACAATATGATTGGACCGTAGCCTTCTCCTTTCGCATTGTAAATCGAGTACAATGTTGATAAAAGCGTGCTAATGTAGTGGAGCCCATCAACCACTAACCACTTTAAATATAATTTAATTTGCAGGCCACCGGCCCTTTTTCGAAACTTAGAAAATATTAAGCGGTCAACAATATTTCTTATGCAAAAGTACACACTGAAAATAATATAAATTTATTTTTTTTTTAAATTATGCACCAGCTATGAATCGAAAAGATTCTAATCCTTCATATCATAGTGGCCATTTTTGACAAATTAATCATTAGTATAGGATTTGGTTTTCATTAATACTGGAGGAAGTCCTCTCTTTTTATTTTTTTTATCTCAATATATAAATTTAATTTGATTTAGTATCTTTAACTTTATGTATTTTTTCAAATAAAATAGTGTTGCTGTTGCTGTTTTTATGAAGCAAGATTGACGAATTAATCAAAGCCAACCACATATTTTTTGGATAATTGTGATAGGTAGGATACAACTATCATGAATTAGAACTAGTTGCCTTATCCACATTTTTTGAAATTATAGTTTAAATCTTAATCTGTAGACAGAATGCAACGTTTTAACAAATTATCATTGCGAAAACTTAATAATGATTTAATTTAAGTATGCCAAAAAGAGATGATCTATATCTGATAGGACTAATTAACTATTATTAGATTAAGTAGTAGTAAGTATTTATTTCACTTTTAGGCATCAATGCCTTATTACTTTTGAAAAATAAAATATCAATGCCAGGCATTTAATCATCTTTTTCAAAAGAAAGAAGAGTCGTTACTTGGCGGCCAACGCCGTTGAAATCTCTTTGTATCGTATGCCTTTACATCATCAACTCAAATATCTTAGCAGCATTCAACATTTTAGAACGAGAAATAGGTCCTGCATTGCTTCCCATACTTTTTTTTAATAAATAATAAAATGATATAATATTTTTTAAAAAATTAAATTATTTATAAAAATTAAAATAAATATATATAATTTTTATCTCAATTTTAATATTTTTATAATTAATTATTATTTATCATTTTATGTTATATGATATTAACATGATATGTTATTATATTGTAATAAATAACAATGTGATATATTTATATAACATGATAACATAAATCTATAACATTTCATCCTTTATGTTAATGTGATATAAAATAATAAATAGTATTTTATTTAATGATACTTATTATTTAATAAAAAAGTTTTAATTTAGATCATGTTATTATTTAATTTTGATTTTTTTTTCAATCAAAGTACGTTTGTTTGATATAACGGGATAAGGAGAGAATAGAATCATTATTCTGTAAGAATAGAATAAGAGAGTAATAGTTATTATATAATTTAATTCATAAGAGTGTCTAATGATTGGTTGACAGAAATAGTTTTAAGAATAATTAAGGAATTAGTGGTTAGTGATAAAAATACCTTTTATTAAAATTAAAAAATTTATTTGTTAAAAGATAAAAATACTCTAAGTAATAAAATCAAAATACCTTTTATTATAATTAAATAATATTTTCACCAAAATACAAACATATTTTTATTATAATTTAATAATATTTAATATTATTAAACCTTTTATTATAATTAAATAATATTTAATATTAAAAGGCAAAATATATTCTTCATCAAATTTAAATAATACTAAATAATAATCTTTATTACATTTATTATATTCACATAATAATATTAAATAATATTTAAATATTTTCATTTCCTTTTTTAGGAAAATGAAGTAAAACATTTTGTATTTTCTATGCTTTAGAGAGAGAAAAGAGTGAGGAAGAGAGGAAAAAAATAAGTTTAGTTTTATTTTATAAGATAATTTTTTAAATTATAAAAAAATATTTTTATCTAATTAACTTCTTTTTTTATTTTCAATAATTCAAAATAGTCATTACCGAAAGAGCCTTGGTAATAAGATTCCTTTTAAAATGGCTATTTTGAATAATAGCCATTTCATTAAATCAAATATTTTATATCAAGAATGATAATTGGAGAGAAACGACTGTTCCATTTTTCAAACCAAACACGTCCTTAATGTTTTAAAACCATTTATAATGATTTTATTTTATAAAATTTTTAATCTCTTATGCTGCGACATTTTAAAAATAAATTGTATGTGCAATATAAATCATTGTTTAGACCAAAGAATAAGTTAATATCCCAGTTACTGTTTAAAAAAATAGTAAAAAGGCCTAAAAGGTCATCCAAGTAGAATGCTTCAATTCAAACCCACTTCTTAAGCATAAGAAAGAAAAACATATATTAGTAAAAGCAAGCAAAATTCTCTTTCTTATGTAAGATGTGTAGTATTTAATTTGATTATATTTTGCTAAAATAACAACGAGCTGACCAAGAAACTTTTAACTTAAGAGAATTCAATTTTATTAACGTGAAAAAATGGGTTTAAAATAATGCTTTCTTATTGGCTCAAAGATTAAAAAAAATTACCACTCATACCTAACAATATTAATTTGTATTTCTATTTTTTTTTCCACAAGCAGGCTGTAGCCCGCATCATTTAAGTTGACTAAATAATCGATCATGATGGGAGGGAAGGAGTGGGAGAACTTGCTGTGGTGTCCCACCTTTTACCATTTTTTTAATCACCAGCTGATTCACCACCGTCCGATTTGATGACTTCTCGTGGGAAAACAGACATTACGAATTCAATCTTCCCCATGTGTTTCCAATGTTGACCCGCAATTAAACAAATCACGGCTTGCTGCATTCTAGAAACAGGTAGCAAAACACGGTAATGACTTATGACGTCGTTTTAATAGTATCAACTGAACAAAGAAATGAGAAATTATTTACAATTTCACCACCAGAGTGTAGTGGACAATTTCAGTCGGCATAAATAGAAAAAACCCAGTATCAGTTTCCACAAAGACAATTTCAAGATGCCCGAATTTCCAGCCTCTGACTAAAATTAAGCTCTCAATTTAAGTTTAGGAAAATTTAATTATTAAATCAAAATTATGCAAAAAAAAATAAAATCATTTATTCTTGCCTCTGCATCCCATTAACATCGGAGGTAAAGATATTTAATGTCCAGGAGTTCCTAACTCAACATTAGGTGGGTCCCACATGTCTAAATTGTCTAAAACCTCACTCGGAAAACTTAAATACACGAAATTGTTGGCAGTGGCATGTATAGTATATTTTATTTTTCTTTTTATTTTGCCAAACCGAGACAGAGGGACAAGAAAAAAAAAATAAAAAGTAAAAAGAGTAAAAAGACTGAGGGAAGGATCTGCCACGTAGGACAAAATAGGGGCCCACGAACAGCAAAACTTTAGAAAGGACTGGTTCTCCTTTGGCTCTTTTTTTTTTTTAAAAAAAAAAAAAAAAAAAGGTTGATAGGCAGCCAGGTCGTTCTTTACAAAGAAGAACCGATCAAAAAATTGATCTATGTTCAAATTTAAGAAAGAAAGAAAGCTTAAAAATTTCAAAAAAGAAAAACTGAATGAAGTTCGAAGAGAAAATACAAGTGGAATTTTGGAAAATAGAAAAAAATATAAATATTATAAATATTTTTAAAGTATTATTTATAGAAGGCAAGGGGACCCCGGGAATTCCTGTCATTGGTTCAAAGAGAGAGAGAGAGAGAGAGAAATTTTCTCTCTCCTAAGCCTAAAACCCTGGCTGTGCTCTTTCTCTCTCTAGATTTCCTCCCTTAATCAAAATTAAACATAAATAATAACTCGTTTCCTTTTTGGCTTGTCTCTCCCTATTTCTTGATCTGCAAAAGATATTGTCTACTCTTTTTCAATGGTTTTCGCAAGTGGGTTTGTTTTTTTGGGTTTGTTGATTTTGAATTGAAGATGAACCAGCCTCCAGATTCAAGGTACCACTTTTTATTATGGCTTCCCTTTTCTTCTTGAATTTTTTTTTCGGTTTTATAAATTGTTGTTTTGGTTAAATTTTCAAAACTTTGACTATCTGGGTTTCTTTCTTTGGGTCAAATATCAATGATCTGCTCATTTGTTGAAAATTTAAAGTTTTAGCTAGGCATTGCTCCTTTGTCCATCACCTCTTTGTTTTCATGATTTCAATAAGGTTAGCTGTTTATTTGGATATTTGAGGTGAAAAGTGGAATTGGGTGTGGGAATTTTATTCCAGCTATCAAAATTTGGTATTTTTTTATGTTGAGTTCTGGATACGTTGGGACTGGCCATATGGATGCTTTTTCTGTTAATTGTTACGTTAGGATCTTTTTTTTATTTGGTCAATTTTGTAGCTTTCACCAATGTAGATTTGTTCTCATCTTTCCCTTAATTTCTCTTTTCTTCCTAGACTTTTAAAGGTCGTAAGACTTTCAAATCTGGGTTAAGCAAGAATGTTGAATGTAATTTAAATATCACATTTTCAGAATGTTTGTGTTTTAGAATTTTTGGCATTTTATATGGAGCTTTAATTGTTATAAGCTTCAATTTGTGTATATAAGTTATGTACTTACGTTTAATTTCCATTTGGTTTTCTGAAATCAGGTTCTAAAGCAAGGAACTGTGAATCAGTGGCTGCATTAATATCCACCAGGGAAGGCTAGATTTGGAGCTTCTCTTTGTTTGACAGTTGGGCGCTGGTTGCTTTTTAAAGCTTGATTCTAAGAGATGGCAGGGGGTAGGATAAGAGCAAGGATCCGGCGGAGTCATCTCTATACATTCTCATGTCTTAGGCCAAGTGCTACTGAAGAGGGGCCACATTCTATCGAAGGGCCTGGATACTCAAGAATTGTGCATTGCAACCAACCTCTTATGCACAAGAAAAAACCTTTAAATTACCGGTCGAATTACATATCCACAACCAAATATAATTTTCTCACTTTCTTGCCAAAAGCTTTGTATGAACAATTCCACCGAGTTGCCAATTTGTACTTCCTTGGAGCTGCAATTATTTCAGTTACACCCCTTTCGCCATTTTCTGCTGTGAGCATGATAGCCCCCTTGGCCTTTGTTGTAGGGCTTAGCATGGCAAAGGAAGCTTTGGAGGATTGGCGAAGGTTTATGCAAGATATGAAGGTTAATACTCGGAAAGTAAACGTTCATAAAGAGGAAGGCATTTTTGGTAATAAGTCGTGGCAGAAGGTTCAGGTTGGAGATGTGGTGAAAGTGGAAAAGGATCAGTTTTTTCCAGCAGATTTACTACTCTTGTCATCAAGTTATGAGGATGGAATTTGTTACGTGGAGACTATGAATTTAGATGGTGAGACAAACTTGAAGGTAAAGAGAGCTTTGGAGGTAACCTTGCCTTTGGATGATGATGAAGCTTTCAAGAACTTCACAGGAACAATTAAATGTGAAGATCCGAACCCCAGCCTTTACACCTTTGTTGGTAATCTTGAATATGAACGTCAACTCTATCCTCTTGACCCTAGCCAGATTCTCCTTAGAGATTCAAAGCTGCGCAATACAGCTTTTGTCTACGGGGTTGTGATTTTCACTGGTCATGATAGCAAAGTCATGCAGAATGCCACGAAGTCCCCTTCAAAGAGAAGCAGAATAGAAAGGAAAATGGATTATATAATATATGTTCTTTTCAGCTTCCTTCTGGTGATCTCGTTGATCAGCTCCATAGGCTTTGCTGTGAAAACAAAGTTCTACATGCCAGACTGGTGGTATCTGCAACCCCAGAGTACAGATGATTATTATAATCCAGAAAAGCCTGTTGTATCAGGGGTTACACATCTGGTCACCGCCCTCATGCTTTATGGCTATTTAATACCTATTTCACTTTATGTTTCGATTGAGGTGGTGAAGGTTTTGCAAGCAACCTTTATTAATCAAGACATACAAATGTATGATGAAGAAACAGGGAATCCTGCTCAAGCACGGACATCAAATTTAAATGAGGAGTTGGGTCAGGTGGATACAATCCTATCGGACAAAACAGGCACTTTGACCTGCAATCAGATGGATTTTCTTAAATGTTCCATTGCTGGTACTGCATATGGTGTGCGCTCTAGTGAAGTTGAACTTGCTGCTGCACAACAGATGGCTATTGACCTTGAGGATCAGGATGTAGAAAGATCAACTGTTTCCAGGCAAAAAGGCAAACAACAAGAAATTGAACTGGAGACTGTTGTTACTTCCAAAGATGAAAAGAATTATAAATCTCCCATAAAAGGGTTTAGCTTTGAGGACAGCCGCATCATGAAAGGGAACTGGTTGAAAGAGCCTAAAGCAGACGTCATTAAGTTATTTTTCCGAATATTAGCAATTTGTCACACTGCTATCCCTGAGCTGAATGAAGAGACCAGCAGTTATACATATGAAGCAGAGTCACCTGATGAAGGAGCCTTTCTTGTGGCAGCCAGAGAATTTGGTTTTGAGTTTTTTAAAAGAACACAATCAAGTGTGTTTATCCATGAAAGATATTCGTCTTCAGGACAACCAATTGAAAGGTTGGATCAAATCCACAGTGTCTCTTTGCTAATCACTTTTGAATTCCTTTTGTTTTAGCATCATAATGGTCCTCTTGGTTTCTTGTAGGGAGTTCAAAATTCTAAATATGTTGGAATTTACGAGCAAAAGAAAGCGGATGACAGTAATTGTGAGGGATGAAGATGGGCAGATTCTTCTCCTGTGTAAAGGTGCTGACAGGTTAGTCTCTCTATTGCTTCTTTGACTTCTTCAAAGGTATTAAACAGATGAACAAGGTAGCCTACTCCAATCCGTACCTTAAATGGCCTGATGATTTATGTTTGACTGGTTAATTATCTCTCTGTTTGGCTTATGCAGCATTATTTTTGATCGGTTATCAAAGAATGGAAAAATGTATGAGGAAGATACTACTAGGCATTTGAATGAGTATGGAGAAGCCGGCTTACGTACATTGGCGCTCGCTTATAGAAAGCTCGAAGAGTCTGAGTATTCTGCATGGAACAATGAATTTCAGAAAGCAAAAACTTCTATTGGGGCTGATAGAGAGGCAATGCTTGAAAAGGTGGCAGATATGATGGAGAGAGAGTTGATTCTCATTGGTGCTACTGCTGTGGAAGACAAATTGCAAAAGGGGGTGTGTGTTATCCTTGCTTGCTTGCTCTAAGAAATTTCTGATTTGCTTTACTTCAACCTAATTTAACTTCTCTTCATTTCAGGTACCACAATGTATAGATAAACTTGCACAAGCTGGTCTGAAGATCTGGGTTTTGACCGGGGACAAGATGGAAACTGCTATAAACATAGGGTCTGTCTCTTACCATTTAATATTAGGCTCTTTTCAGTGCATCTTTCTTCTCTTGGGAACCTGAAATTGGATTTCTCATGGAAAGATGCTCAATTAAAACAATTTAATGAAAGTTTCTTTGTGTGATGCAGATATGCTTGCAGTTTACTAAGACAAGGCATGAAGCAGATCTGTATTACAGCAATTAGTTCAGATGCCAAAGAGGTATGCACTTCTTTGTGAAATAGGACAGGAACTTTTCTTCAGGAAATTGTTTCATTTGATGTTAGACTGCGTTGCTTTTTGTTACCGATCAGGTAGTTAAGGAGAATATACTGATGCAAATTACCAATGCTTCACAAATGATCAAACTAGAAAAAGATCCACATGCTGCATTTGCTTTGATCATTGATGGGAAGACTCTAGCATATGCCTTGGGGGATGATATGAAGCAGCAATTCTTAGGCTTAGCGGTTGATTGTGCATCTGTCATATGCTGTCGTGTGTCTCCCAAGCAGAAGGCACTAGTAAGATTTCTTTTTCCTTTCTTTTCCTCCTAGCTTCTTTTAATCTTTTAGACAAGGAAATCAGGTGACATTCCTGATAGTGGAAATATTATTTTGTAGTCTACTTGCTTAGTACTTATTTTCGGTACCAGGTAACAAGACTAGTAAAAGAAGGAACTGGGAAAACCACCTTAGCAATTGGCGATGGTGCAAATGATGTTGGAATGATTCAAGAAGCTGACATTGGTGTCGGCATCAGTGGCGTGGAAGGTATGCAGGTTGGTAACATATCTAACTCTCTTTCTACACAATGCTGCTATAATACAAACCTGTTTTTTGCCTCAAAAAAGAAAGCTTCAATGTTGTTTGTTATTTTTCATTTTCACTTTTTGCAATATAATTTCTCTAATGGTAGTACCAAATTTTATGTAGTTTTATGTTAAGGATATTTCATATTTATGAGTTGTAGAAAAGGAGAGACTATCTCATTAGAGTTGGATTTTAGATGGGAATTTGCTCATTTGGTCCTTTTCTGCATTTATAATATATATTTCTCTCTCTTGGAGGAAGATGTAGTCAAGTTTTTGAGCTTCATGGTTCTTTGTCAGCTGCTCTTCTATTTAATTAGTAGCAGATGTAAAACTTAGCAGTTTATATACAACCATCCTCATAGGGAGATTAAGATATTGTTAGGCTTCTTTTGACTGTACTCAGAAATGTTTAGGAGCAGTGACTTATTAAAATGTTCAGTGTTACATTATCTCAAGTGCAGGTAATCGTTTCCTTCTGTATCTTGTTTGATGTATTTAATTATTATATTTTAGACTTTGGCTGTCTATCTTGACATGATGCTTCTTAAGACAAGTTGTCTCTGCATGTTAGTGAATTACAACTTGTTCCCTTTTGCAGGCTGTAATGGCCAGTGACTTCTCTGTTGCCCAATTTCGTTTCTTGGAAAGACTTCTTGTTGTCCATGGACACTGGTGTTATAAGAGGATTGCACAGATGGTAATTAATAGGGATTTGTCTGCAAGAATGTTTCATTTTCTTTCATTTTTTATGCTTGGTTCTCCTCTAATGCTGTACCATTTAAACTTTGGTATTTTGGATTCAGGTTTGCTATTTCTTCTACAAGAATATAGCATTTGGCCTCACCCTCTTCTATTTTGAGGCATTCACAGGCTTTTCTGGACAATCAGTTTATGACGACTGGTACATGTTATTGTTCAATGTCGTTCTTACTTCATTGCCTGTAATCTCACTAGGAGTTTTTGAGCAAGATGTTTCTTCCGAGGTCTGCTTACAGGTTAGTCTGTAGACAATATTTTTGTAGCAATTCATCCATATTGCACGTGACTTTATTACAACACTTATGCATGCCTATTCATGTTGCAGTTTCCTGCATTATATCAGCAAGGACCTAGAAATTTGTTTTTTGACTGGTATAGAATACTTGGATGGATGGGCAATGGTCTATATTCCTCTCTCATCATTTTCTTCCTCAATATTATCATCTTCTATGACCAAGCTTTCCGTGCTGGAGGCCAGACTGCTGATATGGCTGCCTTGGGCACGACAATGTTCACTTGCATCATTTGGGCTCTCAATTGCCAGATTGCACTCACTATGAGCCACTTCACATGGATCCAACACCTCTTCATATGGGGCAGCATTGTCACTTGGTATTTGTTTCTCTTTATTTATGGCATGGTATCTCCCACTATTTCTGGTAATGCCTACCAAATTCTAGTGGAAGCTCTTGCTCCTGCACCCATCTATTGGTCAGCCACCCTCTTAGTAACAGTTGCTTGTAATCTCCCATACATGGCCCATATATCTTTCCAGAGATGTTTCCACCCATTGGATCATCATATCATCCAAGAGATCAAGTACTATAGGAAAGACGTTGAGGATCAACGCATGTGGAGTAGGGAGCGATCAAAGGCAAGACAGAAAACCAAGATCGGGTTCACAGCACGGGTAGATGCAAAGATCAGGCAGTTAAGAGGGAGATTGCAAAGAAAACAACCGTCTTTGGAAACGCATAGTCCAATGTCTCCATCATAACAATGCTCATGAACTTAGTTTATTTTTGAAGATTTTTAGGTTTTTCTTTTTTCGGCCATTTGCAGTTTTACTTTGAGGCCTTTTTCTTCTTTTTTCTTTTTAATTCATTTGTTGATCCTTATTAGATTAAAGTCTCATTCATTATACAGAGGCCTTGGGTGCTGTTGTATGTACACTACTTGACACACATATAAGAGTTGTAGCTTGTGAAAATAGTCGATATCTTCATCATCATCATTATTTACGATTTGCCTTATCTTGGCTTGTTTGTATAACACTGTATAGTGTAACAATGTTAAAACTGTTGTTGTAAAGAAAAAGCTGGATTTGAAGCAAGTCAATCTTCCTTATGTTGAACTAGAGAACTTGTTTGAAGTTTTGGTCTGGTCTTGTTCATTGACTTTAGGCGTACATGTATGTCTTTACCTATGCTCTTCTACAATCTTTAGACTCATTCTTAACTCCATGAGTTTGGGTTGATTCCATTTGGTAGGACTAGGTCTCAGCTTTCATTTTCTTATACCAAACCTAATCCAACAGGATTTTAGAAATGAAAGTTTGCATGTTTAAGCTATATTTTGCATCTACTGGACTGGTTTTGATCCCTTCCCCATCTTCCCATTCTTTGTTCTACTTGCAGTGCACTAAGAAATATGAGGATCTAATCATATCTAATTTATTTACATCCAATTATATTTGAATTTTATCTAAAAGGAGAAAACTTTGTGATAATATATATATAGGAACTTTGTGATAATATATATATAGGATCATAACTCAAAATTGAATATATTAATTTTCTTACACTCGTTTATAATAGTTAAATGTAATTTACCCTAATTAACATGTATATTAGGGAAAAATAATGGGTTTATAAATCTTTATTCTAATCTGTAGCAAAAAGGGATGACATAAAAGGAGAAAAAACGAGTAATCAAAAATGTAAAGCAATATTCATAGAAATAAAAAAAAAAATCGAGATTCGCATCTGGAGACATGATTTCTGTCCTTTTTTCGTAATAAAAAAGTAAAAGTTAGAGCACCTGCCGAAATGTAAGGAAAAGAAGAAACGACAGCGTGCGATGCTGTATTCGAGCCTAGGAAAAGCTTGGGCTTTCGATTGGATCAACGCTAAATATCAGTTATCCTGCTACACTAGGAAGGAACAATAATAATAATAATAATAATAATAATAATGCTATCTTTTTT